AGTCAGAAAATTAACATGGAATTTTACTCCTGATCCTATGGCAATTTAACTTCAGTCAATAGAACCATGAATTTCCCTTCCAAATCTACCTGTTGTACAGACTTTTAAGAAAACCAACTTCCTCTTTAAAAAAACAACTCCATTCTCTCATTCCGCAGATGCAATCTATTTGATTTCATGTGTTCTATCAGGTGTGGTTACTGTTAGGTCCCATTGGGTTGGTTCCTACCCCATAGTGACTTGGAGGGGGATGAGATTGCCAATCTTCACAGGAGCAGCTTTTTTGAACTGCTGATCTTGTGGTTAGCAGCCCAGAGCTTCACACTACACCCCGGGGCCCTTTCTAACACTACCATGCTTACTCACCGGTTTACACATGGGTATTGCACTTGCACTGCTCCTGTCCAAATATGAACCGAAGCAAGAGCACCAAATCTATCAGCCATTGTATCCTTCACCACCAAGCACTGGGATTGAGAAAGGAAAAAGCCAGTCATACCCAATACTGTCCTTGATGAAGCAGTATTAAAAATTGATGCTTGCTCTGGTGAAAGCACTATTTCTGAGGTGTAAAGTTATCTCAAGAAAATGCACGTGCGCAATTGCTTGAACCCAATCGACTGCTCCCCCACCCCCCCCACGGCCTGGCTATTTTTACTTGAAAAGAATGATGGTGGACAAATCATTTATACAGACGAATATTTGACCATTTTCTCAAAAGAGAAAATAAGATCTGTGACTTCAAGAGAATAACCCACTTGCATTCCCAATTATAGAAATGCCAATTATAGCAAAAAATCCAATTGTGAAAAAAAAATCAGCAAGCTTCTCAGGTTCCCAATTTTTAAAATAGCAATATTCTGTTATGTGATTTTTTTAATGCATTTTAATGTAGCATATTTTAAAGCTGTCAACTGCATTATCTGACACTAAATTTAATATTCTTCTATCAAAACATCCTAAAATGGAATGCAAAAAGAGTTAAAGGTACTCAGCAGTCTTTCATTAACCCAGATATGAAAGAGGTTTGCAAATATGCCAAATTATGCCACTGCTCTCACTAAAACATTTTTGGAAGTTACTTTCCATTAGGAACTATTCACTTCAAATGAGAATACACATACACAAGCACTGCTCTTAGACATCCTCAATAATCTGAGTGTAAAGACCAAGAAATTTCAAGAACTCGTGAACTTAGAATTATGTTTTATAAGCACTTAAGAATTTTTGGTGTAATCTAACATTTCCATCTGGAAACAGGAAATGCTGAGTGTCCTTAACCACAAATTTTCAAAGTGATTCAAAAACCTATTTTTAATGCTTTAAGGCTACCAAATAACCTGGTTAACAAGAAACTATTGAATGGCTTACTTATTTTGCAACAGAAGTTTTTGACAGTGATAATATTCTCATCTTATTGGCTAAAAGCAACCAAACCAAACTCTCTACCATTGAGTCATTGTGACTCATAGCAACCACCCTGTGGGTTTCTGAGACTGTCACTTTATGGGAGTAGAAAGCCCAGTCTTTCTCCCTTGGAGCTGCTGGTGGTTTCAAACTGCTGACCACATAGATTAAAGCCAAAAGGGCCCCTCATTATTGGCTAAGAGCCAAGGAATATTGAAAATAAAATTGGTGTTGGCTAAACAAATTTCCCATTGAGGTGTTTACCTAGGGTGACATGAAAGCTAATATTCTACAAAAGAGAAGGAAAAAGGAAGGGGCATGACAAACTATTGGAAAGTGTCAGGGAAACCAGCCCCTAACACATCACAGGTCCGGTAGACGCAATTGTACAGTGATTAGAAGATTATAGTAAAGTCATAAAGAGCAGAAATAATGCATTCAGACCCATCTCATGGTAGCAGGCTTACCTCCGCCTCACTTGGTGGTCCACGAGATTTATTGCGGACCCTAGATGCATGATGGTGGCCTAACCTTGATTGCCTTAGAAGTAGACTTTATTTGGCCCTAGCTTTCAGGGGAAGCAATCCACTACCCCTAACAGCAGAGTGAGCCCTGCCTATTGTGGGAGAAACCATGGTGTCTGCTTGCTCTGGAAGGCTGGAGTCTTCAGGGAGATAACTTGACAATTATTTACCATTACTTGCAAGCAGTGTCCTAAGTCTAACATATTTGGGGGAGACGACTTGGGAGAAATTTTTGTTTCCCACAGGAAGGCTTGATAAATTGCTTAAATTACTGAATACTAAAATGATCATTTGAAATGTAAACTCCTACTAATTAACAAAAAATGTTAAATCCTCTGGACTAAGTAAAAATTTACATATGATGGATTTGTTTCAGAATATTTGTTGCTAATATTTAATCATATAAATCATTTTTGCATATTGGTCTTATATCCTTTGATCTTGCTAAACTTTTTAGTTCAAGATTACAAGTAATTTTCTACATAGAAAATCACATTATCCATGAATAAAAAACTATTTCTTGCTTAAAAGACTCATAAATCCTGGACATACGTTTGATTAGGATGAGCATTTGTTGTTCATTTTAGACTCCTGAAAATGGATGTCTCAGATCTTCCTTAGTGAATTTTAGGAAGGAAAAAAAATGAAATACTATTCCAGACTTTACTGGAGCCTGCCAGATATAAATACAATTGGTAGATTTGTGCTGGATACATGGTAATTTTAAGGATAACTATGTCCCTAGCATTCTGTATTAGCTCCTTTAATCCTCACAATTCCTGGTGATCTTTCTCACTGCCACTGAGTCCATGCACTCACAGACCCTTTAGAACAGGGTAGAACTGCCCCAGTGGGTTTCACAGACTGCAATTCTTTACCGGAGTAAAATCCCTTCTCCCAAGGAGCTGGTGGTTTCGACCTCTGGACCTTGAGGTTAGCAGCCCAATGAGTGACCACTACAACACCAGAGATCATTAATGATAGTTTTTAAGTAATTTGTCCAAAACCACACTAGTATCAATCTGCAGTCAGGACCAGGTTGTTTTGCCCAAGAAACTATGTTTGGGTGTTCCATTATGTTTAGTCTCCCAACAGATTTATGAAGTCCTTCTTTTGTTTCTATATGCATCCTTAAACTCTATTCTAAGAAAATGAAGCCCTGCCTGCAAAAGGCCCTGAAGAGAACATCCTATACATAGCTATGAAAAATTCCAGACAAGTAGGTTATTTGGCTAGATTTCACCCATCTTCCCTCTATTACCTGTTCGCTTCCCATTTTTAACAATATTTAGCACATCCAAATGCCAACATAAATGGACCACTTGCACTATATATTATACAATTTCCATAGGCAAAAATTAAGTAACTTTCCTAGTCTGGAAAAAAGACAAGATCAAAAAAGAGTTGAGCAAAAGATGCCTAATATAGTTAATGTTATTCCATTTAAATAGTACTGTGTGCTATCTAGTCAATTTCAACTCACAGGAACCCCATAGGGCAGGACAGAGTAGAAATGCCCCACTAGTTTTTCTAGAGCCCTGGTAGTGCACTAGTTCACGTATTAGGCTGCTAACCTCAAGGTCAACAGTTTGGAACGACCAGCTGCTCTGCAGGAGGAAGGCTTTCTACTCCTGTACTCTCAGAAACTCCATTCTACCCTGTTCTACAGGGTTGCTAAGTCAACGTGATTTGATGACTGTGAAGTTTTTAATCTTTACAGAAGCAGACACCATCTTTCTTTCATGGAGAGGCTGGTGGGTTCTAACCACAACCTTTCAGGTAGAAGCTGAGCACTTAACCACTGTGCCACCATGGCTTTTATATAAAGTATAAAACAATCTACAGTATGAGAATCAGGATGATGGATGTCAGAACTTATAGGATTCTAGAAACGTCGTGTTGTTCAGGCTATGTACTTTGGAAACCTCTGTACCATTACTGTTCATTTGGATGCCTATGGGACAGGCAAACTGTTAAGCACGCAATTACTGACCACATTAGTCAAACATGCACACAGTGGAATATACTTATCATCATAAACAAAAGGATGAGCATCATCTATTGGGCCCAGGCTTGAAGGATGAGAAATGGAAACCTTTTAGAATGTGGAGAAAATAAATGTTACGCCAGGTTCTTCTAGTCTTCTTAAAAATTTTCATTTCTCATCATTCATCAAATTTGTATTAATTAGAAAAGCATACTGCATAATAGGTACATAGTAATGTGATCACCTTATTCCTTTATTTCTATTTCATCAAAACTTTCCTACTAATGCTAATTTAAGAGCCCTAAGCAATTTCTACCTTGATTTACTAAAGTACAAGATTTACCAACAGAAAAAACAACAAAAAAACAACACCATTGCTGTCAATTGCTACTAAGAGTGAGCAATTCTATGAACAGAGTACAAAGCTCCTTAAGTTCTAAGCTGTAGTCCTTACAGAAGCCAACTGCCGCCTGTTCTCCCTGAGACTGTTCGGTTCAAACATCAACCATTCTGTTAGTAGCAAAGCACTTAACCACTGTGCCACCAAGGATCCTGAGCAGAGAGGTGTATGATAATCAGAGAAATATATTCTTCTGTCCTTCATAGTTGTTTTAAGGGTAATTTCTCTATATAAAAGTCACTGCTATCTAGTAGATTCTGAATCATAGCAACCCTATAGGACAGGACTGACTGCCCCTGTGGGTTTCTGAGACTGACTTTATAAGAATAATAACCTCATTTTTCTCCCAAGACTTGGCTGGTGGTTTTGAACTACTAACTTTGCAGTTAGCAGCTCAACACATAACCACTGTATCACACGTGTTTTATTAACCAACTTTCTGCCTGGCTGCCAACGTTAAGATTTTGATGCATGCACACTTCATAAAATAGCTTTAGAAAGTTTATTAACAACTGAAACAGTTCATAAATTAATCCAACATCCAGAATCAGCATGTGATGGCATTCTTCTAATTTTTTACTACAAAAACTGGATTAACTCCTACATGTTTTTCTGAGTGAATTATGAGAGTTAAATCTTATCATGTTTGCCTCTAGACACAATTCTAATTAAACACACCAAGTAGGAGAAAACCACTTTTAATTGAAAAATAAAGCAATACATCTCAAGACTCTGTGTTTAACAGCAGAAACTGTAAATTTGTTGAGAAATGGCTTAAGTGGTATAGTAAAATTTAGTTATTTGAACGTTAGTGGCTTTTCTTTATGATGACTCAGCTGTAAATATTAAAAATAAGATTATTTTCACTAAATTGTAAATCTTTAAAGCCTCCATTCCCTATTCACTAAAATAAAAGGAAAGACTGTAAACAATCATTTCATATTCAGAAATTACCAGATAAGTCAAAATTATCCTAATGTAAAAGACCTACATGAGACATGACTTAATAGTGATATTAAACTTATTCACAATATTTCAAAACATAACTCCATTAATGTGATTTTTACCATAGGTAAGTTGTCTTTTCAGCAAGTTCTCAAATGCAAGAATGGTTTGGTTTGACATACTGAAAGTACTACACTTTGGAACTAAAACTACTAATGGTATTGTTTTACAACAAAAACAAATTATGGTAAAAAATATCTCAAAATAATTCATTAAATAGCTATTCTTAAAACTACATTCAGATTAGTGCAGAAAAAAAAGCTCAAGCACATAGTAAATACCACTTAAGAATGATAAAATAAAGGCATATTCAATTAGATGTATGGCTTTCTTGTGTGATTATTAACACCCATAAATAAAGTCATTAGTGTTAGATTGAAAAAGACTTTTTACAAAACATTACTTCCAAAATTAACATTTTTATTAAATCAAGTTTAAAAAAGGCTTACTTTAGAAAAGTCAACAAGGGTTTTAACAAAAACAATATACACCTTTTTTATACAATATATGTATATATTAGCAGCAAACTACTTATGAGATTTCCTTTTATGTTCTTTTAATTATTTCTGTTGAAGAAAACATAAATGATGTATGGTTAGTATGGAATGTCAGCTAATCCACTCTTCATCCTTTGTTCTATGATTTGGGCTTTCTAGTACAAGGAACTTTATGAGTCTCACAAATGGAATACTAAGAACCCAGTTTTGACTAAAAAGTAGTTAAACAGAGTTAGCTGGTGGAATCTGCTTTACTAATTCATAGTCACACATTATCTTTGAGAACGAATGAGCACCATGAAATGTGTGCGCTTGTACACATAAACTCAACTTTTAAATTGTAATATCAGCCAACTTGGGGTTTGACTGTTGTTTTATTTAGTGACTACAAAATTTAATGAAACCAGATAAACACTTTAATCCTGTGATGTCCATTTGTAAAATCCTTAGAAATTTTAAGTAATCTGTCCAACTGAATGCACACAGAATGTGCAGACCTTATCTTTGAATTTCTAAAACTGAAATGAAGCTCTTATTTAAATATACATTCAGAATATATTATCACCAACTGAAACTTTCTAAGAAATGTTTTGCCTTAGCAAATCAGAAAATCTGGCTATTGAAAAATTCTGTCACCAAAGAGCTGTTAGCCATCCAGCTAACTGTAATTTGGATTTACAAATAAATCAGCCAAACAAACAAGACTGAAACTACCAACTGCTCACCAAAGAAATTCTTCTTTTGATATTTTCTTCTAATACCAAAAAGGAAGTATCTTTACACTGAGCTTTCACTTTTTAAGAGTTAAAATTATTAAAGAAATCTCACTAGCCTTCAAAAATACCAGAAGTTATATAAATACAATTTTCTTAAAGATGAATTCTTCAGCTAGAATCTGTATAAAAAAGTTTGCTTTGGATTGTTCCATTTAGCGCTTCAAGTTTCCACTCTGCAACTCTGACAACTGTAAACAATCTATTAGGTTATTATCAATCACATCTTTAGAACGTGCTGCTGTGTGTTATTACCTGTGTACAATGAAGCAAATGAAAGAAACGGCATCAAATTTGAAAAGCAACATAATATTGAAAAATTCAATATGAAACATAAAAAAGGTACAACACAAATTCCCTCTTCACGATTACATTTGTGGAATATAATCTTTTTAGACTTCTAGAAATGTCCTAACTTTCATTTTCAATTTAGTAAGATGAAGTGGTTAGATGGCCCACCTTTACTTTCCAATTAACAAACTAAAACAATAGACTGAATTACTTTTATTAATATACATATCAAGTTATTGAAATGGTGACTTGTGTTTTCCCCTTAAAGATGGCACTTGCAGGTACAAAGATGCAGAGATGTTTACAGCCTTTAGATGTTTACTTGAAAAGATTCTTCAACAGCAGTTTGATACTGGGTTTCCTCATCTAGCTGAAGATTCTAAAAATAATAACATTGATTTGTCAATAAGAAAAACATCCTTGACTACTCAGTGTTTTGGCCAATACATTGCATATATTGATATACATTAAATATATTTAATAAAATTCATGTATATTACTTTTAAGACACAAGATATAAATACTTGAATTTATTATTTCAAGGAAGTTAATTGTAACCTACAGAAATGATCAATTTTGTGTCATCTCTAAATTTTTTAATACTGAAAGTAAATTCACTTTTAAAAAGTTACCAACAGTTAAGTAACTGCTTAATCATAACATGAAGATAAAATTTTACTTAGATTTTATTTACATTCGATTTTACCTATACATTAAGTATAACTTCTACTGCTCATCTTTAAAAAATTCTATTTGCTATCAACTACATTAGTTTTCATCAAAACAGCTTTTGACATCTATTTTCTAATGGTAAGGTAAAAGTCTGATCTAGCAATTAGATCAATGTAGTTCACAGATGTTTCATGGCTTTTTCAAATAAGCATTCTCCAAACAAAGTAACCTTTCTCATAATAATTTAATAATCTACCAGTTTCATTAAAATGCAAAAACACACATTGAAATTGTTCTTTTGAAGTAGTGAGATTTTTTAAATGAAAATTCTAAAAAAAAATTTTTAACATGAAGAATGAGATTTCAATATTAATTCTAACAAATATCAACCATTCTTCGTCCAAATTGATCTTAAGTAAGGTTTTAATTACACATATTGAAAAATTGCAATTTCTCAAACAGTAAAACATAATTTATCACCTAACTTAAAATTCTCATGAGATATCTGGAAGTAGAAGTTAACTTATTTTTCTCTAGAGATGCATTTTTTTTATATTACGTAACTTCCCACACTGACCCTGTTAAAAAGCCAATAGAGGCCAGAGTCAATGATCAAACTAGGTTCTCTCATTTAAAAAAAAAAAGTCTCTTCACCTGCTGGATTTCCTAAAACTATTATTAGAGTAGACTTAACAAGACATTACATGAGAACTACATCCTCCTTCATATGCTGTATCATTACTTCTCTAGTACAAATGCCTCTTAAATCTAGACAAAGTTTTCATATAAATCGAAATTTCGTTAATTTGGTGGTTTTATTCTTCTCTATCAAGTATTTCTCTAGAACATTAGCGGTAGGGGATAAACTCAACTTTCACCAACTCTACAAACCGAATTTCACCTTAACCAAAACAGCTTATTTTATAACCTTCCAATACCATGACAGGCTTCAAATTCTAGCCTAGATTCAAAACATTAATTTAACTTGAATATTTAAATGCTATTTTCTTAAACCTAAAGAAATCACTTACCACAAATTCTCCATAATCAAACTGATGTCTTTGATTTAGATGACTAACAAAATTTCTAGTAATCTGGCTAGGATCTCCCCAAGGAAGAGACACACAAATAGGACATGTCTATGAGAAAAAGATTGTTTTAAATAAAATGTAATGAAAATTAAACACTATTATTATTGAGGGTAAAAAAATAACAGGCTTGTGTTACCTGAAATATCTATATGAAAAGAGTTTCTACAGAGTAAAGTTCACAATATAATTTCCCAAATTACCTCAGATAAATCATACTTATCTAACACTATACAATAAAAAGATCTTAGACATCCTGTGTAATCCCTAACTACACATTTCAGAATGAATGCCACATCCAGCCCTTATAAACTTTATTAATTATAAAATCCTAAACCCATTGGCAACAATAGATTATGACTACAGGACTGCCTTAAGATAGGATTTCTAATGCTGTAATCTTTACAGGAGCACACTGCCACATCTGGTCTCCCATGGAGTCAATGGATTCAAATTGTTGACCTTTTGGTTATCAGCTGAACTCCTTAGCCACTGTGCTACTGGGCTCCTAATTATGATTAAGAGCAAAGACCAAACCCAGTGCCACAAAGTCAATTCTGACTCATAGCAACCCCTTACAACAGAGAGAAAGCTGCTGCTTAGGGTTTCTGAGACTGTCAAAACTGTACAGGAGCAGGCGGCTTCTTTCTCATGCTGAGCAGCTGGTAGAGGTATGAACACCAGCCTTACAATGACCAGCCCATTGCTTAACCCACAGAACCACTAGGCTCCTTAATTATGATTAACCAAACCAAATCAAACCCATGGCCATCATGTTAACTTCCACTCAAACACAACTCTATACGTGGCTTCCAAGACTAAATCTGTACACGAGTCAACATTCTCATCTTTCTCCTGAGGAGTGGCTAGTGGATTTGAGCTGCTGACCTTATGATGAGCAGCCCAACACTCAACCCTCAGCACCATCATGGCTCCTTAATTATGATAGTTACTATTACTGGTCTATAACGTAACAAATATATGATTTGATCCATACAATAACTATGACATATTACTCATTTTTAAGTAAAATAAATGCTAAACAATTACCTTTAAAGTTTTTGCACTTTTTAATGTTCCTTTATAATTTTTAATGAAGAAAATCATGAACAGTGAATGGACTAGAAAAAGTTTATGATATATTGAATATTCTGTATAAATTCAAAAATTATAATAATCTAGTACAGAATACACGAAGTAAAATCTCTGACATGAGATTTATTTATTTTCCTAGATGTGTCTATGGCGCTGTATTTTTTACTTAATGTGACTGACCCTCCTCTTTTAAAAATCAAAGAAGGTGGTATCTTTTCCTGTCTGTGAGACAAGAATTGAAAGGCACCCTATTGTTATTGGGACACATGCGTCTACAATTTTTACACCAGGACAGCTTAAAAATAGCTTTAATCCCGATTTTACTAATATTTTTCTTCTATTCCTGAAAAAAATATGTACATACCAAATGTATAGCTGAAAGGGAAGCATCACTTCTAGCTCAGTTTTTCACGTTCCATCTATAGTTGAAGTCACTTACCTGTGAAACCATGTTTCGGATGAGGAGTTGTAGGACTATTTTTTTTAAATATGGAACGCTTCACGAATTTGCGTGTCATCCTTGCGCAGGGGCCATGCTAATCTTCTCTGTATCGTTCCAACCCTAGTATATGTGCTGCTGAAGCGAGCACGAGTTGTAGGACTATTAATGCAATGCCAAGACCTTGAAGTCTCTGCTCTATCGACTCTTTTCATCAAAATAGTCTTTCTACTCACTAATGTCCTTAAAGATTATACATACCCAAAAGAATATTGTGCATAAGTATGTCTTTTTCCCTTCTTGCTTTATACACTCATATCTACACGTTGCAGGGATATAGTTAAAAAGACATCTAACTTCGCTTTTTCCTTATAGGTGTTTTCACCTGCAGCAGGATAGATCTGGATATATCCAGCAGTCTGCATACAGAGCAAGACACTGGGAGGCTCCAGTAGAATTCGGATTTGCCACTTCTCAGTAATAATCCTGAGTTCATCCTCCATATTTCCCTCTTCTCTAGGCTAATCTTTCTACATTGCCTTGACAATAAGCATCTTCCTTTCTCAAAGTTGAGTTACTGGAAATTTTGAATATTTCATTTTGTTCCACCATCATTTAGTCTCATTTTTAAAATAAAGAGCTACCTTATTGATAATGCCCATCTGACAAATTTACGTCAAGTACCTTTCTCTTGTTTTACTCATGAAGTAAATGAAACAGCATACTTTTATCTGAGAAGAATTGTGGGAAACAAAGGGAAGAGAGTGTATACGGATGAATCCTTTATTTTCAATTATTAATAAGCCTGGCAGGCTGGGTTTCAGGGATGGAAGAAGGCCTTCACCCTTGTGAGTTGGAGGTGAGTCCCAATCACATTCTCATAATCAGTATTGTTCCCCAGTATATCCTCCCATAAAAGTGCTACTTTGAGGTTACCTTTTTACAAAAACATGGCTGATTGCTATCTGGCCTGCAGCTTTAACTATAGGAGCTGACATGTGCTACTGCTCTCTAGGCTCTGAAGACAGCCACTCCCCCTTAGCTGCCCCCCCAGGCACTGGTGCTAAGTTACTCCTCCAATGTACTCAGGGACCTTTAGGGTTAGGGTACAGCCCAGTTTGCTACATATGTGGTTACCTGTAATTAGGGGGGCTTATACACCCCTAGAGTGTATATAAGCCTTGGTTGGAAATATATTCTCTCTCTTTGCACAGACCTGACTCCTGAAGCCATGGAGGTCCTAGAGGTGAGCCCCTGCATGCCTTATCTTGTCTGATGTCTCCTTAATTTTACCCCCTAATTACACAACTGCCCCTTGGACCCATTTGATTCTGGGGGCTGGTACCCCACAAAAATGTCTTAAATATATGTACTTACCACAGGAACTATCTGAAATATGTGATTACTGTTACAGTGATCCAGTAAACGCTGTCTGGTAAAATTTGATTCTTGACACAATGGACACTTAAAGGTGGGGTGCCCAGAAGAACTATAAAACAATTTTGAATGAAATATATTTAATTCAAAAGTATAAAAATGCTGTACTCCTATGTTTTAAACCAATCACTTTCTCTTAAAAGTTATAATCATTAGCCTTTTTAGATCTAGAACAGAGGTCACCTCTCAAAAAAATTTTCCACAATGTTTGTAACCTATCACACATCCCGTAATAACTGCATTTGTTAAGCAACTATCTCCAAACAATTAATTTATAGTAGTACATAAGGTGCCCAAAGATGTTATGATGTATTCCTTGAAAAGTTACAATATCCTGTGGCAACCCTAATGGGTAATTTCATATAAAAAACTTAATGTTTTAGAAACTTCCATCAATGTGCTTAAAGTATTTAAATCCCAAGGATTCTAATATACAAAACTGCTAGGAAAAGTGAAAAACAAGAGCACTAACTACCAGAATGAAACACTTAAAAAGAACTTGAGGAGCATGCATCACTGGCTTCTAATACATCTGAACTGCATCAAGGGCTAGGCAGCTCAACATCGATTAACTGTACCTGAATCACACATGGAAGACAGCATGAAGGACTGAACACAGCAATTATGTATTTTATTTCTAAACACCCAACTTCCAGCACTATGTCTGGAGATGATACTGAATGAAAATAAGGTTCACCTTAAAATCCATAATCTGATAAAATTTATTTATAAAAATAGAATTTTTCAAAAGCTTACCTTGTATTCTCTTGGTAAGTTTCTGTGTTATCAGATGTGGATGTTTCACTCCTATTACTTAAGAAGCAATGGGAGGAGGGTCAGTTAATAATGTAGAATATTAGAGATGCATTCATTTGAACTACTTTAACAACTAGGGCTGAATTTGTCTTAAAACTCCAGATTTCAAAGAGTTTTAATCTTTGAAATCATTATGGCATGAACTACTTTTCCAATGTCCTTAAATTAGTTTATGCACAATTATAAAAGAACAGAGAATATAAAATGTCCCACAAACATTTTAAACCTACAGCATGAATATTTCCAAGTCCTTTAAACTTCTAAAGTAAATTGTTTCTCTATCAAGCATATGAAGTTTTTAAAAGGAATAAAACTAGGCATTCGTGAACTTTTAACTAGGATGTAGTTTAAGGTTGTACATTACAAAGTGAAGTAGGTTTAGGAAAATGTTGGAACTTTGTTTATGTATTTTATGGCTCTAAAAGGAAAACATTAGCCTTTACTAGCATTTAATATACAAAAGAACAACATGACATTCTCACTTGAACTCTGTGTGCAGAGTCACATGCCATACAGAGTACTAAAAGGATTCCTGAAGGAAGAATAAGCATTCCAAGATATAGGATTGTTACCTATGTACTATAACATTTAATCAGCATGGCTTAATTTTATGAAACAAAACCTTTAAATAGTAGAACACTGAAAATAGCAATAAAGAAGGTAGTGTTTTCCCACCCCACCCCCCAAAAAGTGTTTGTACCACAGAGACGTTTGTTGGCTATCTCAAAAACAGAGTAAGTAAAAGTGTTTCAAAAAGGCTATTTATTCATTTTACTCCAAATCCTTTACCACCATCTTTAAAATATTTAGAAAACTAAGGCAGTTTCTCACAGTAAATGGCAGAGTTTGCCATTTGCTCCAAGCCTTCATTTTTAACCTCAATTATATTGCTTTTCAAGGATGGCTATGGATGCAACAAATTAATCATGGTGCAATTGTAGGTAATCAGGAAAAAGCCTGGGGGCATATTAGAAAGAAATTTTGTCCTGTCAGTTTTGTGATATTAGCTCGTGAAATCCCTTGAAAATTTTTCCAGAAAAATGAACATTAACCACAATTTGGAAGAAGAAAAAGAGATTCTAATTTGCAAACATATTACTGAAAGGTTTTTGGGATTTCTTCCATTTTTCAAATATCTGCAATTTCAAAATAAGAGAAAATGATCTTCAGTGAGAGGCCTATCTAAAGTGCAACTATTGGTCTCTCCCATTTCAGAGGAAGATTGAAAACAGAAAGACACATGGAAACAATTAGTCTACCTGACAATGGACCACGAAAACATCAGTCTCCACAATCATGAGACAAGAGGGAGTCTGGCTACTACTACCCATTACTCTGAAAGGGACTATATTCAAAAGTTTTGGCTTGACTTGGAGAAAAATGTGAAACAAAACTCAAAATCATAAAAGAAGCCAGGTTTACCAAAAAATAGACGGGTGGAACACCCAACACAATGGCCATTAGTCACCGTTCAGATCAAAGGGGTAACATTTACCCAAAGTTTGGAGAGGAAAGAAGGAGTGGAAAGAAATGTGGAGTAAGTGAGATAAGTGATGGTACATTGAGGGTACTGCAACAGATGAGTTGCAACAAAATGCGTGGGAATTATTGAATGTAAAACCAAAGATCGATTCTGTAAAGCTTCACCTAAATCATATTAAAAAGTTCAAAATAATAATCCTCAACTTCCATATATACTGTTCTATTTATAGAACATAGTTTTATAGAATGATTTTAAACAATACGAGCTTAAAAATGTCATTAAGTTTATGTCCCGGATGCAATTTTATGAATGCCAAATAAACTTTGAACACAAATTCGATAGCCCTCATACTGGCTATTTACTTAAAACACAAAAATAAACTTAAAAATATCATACTTCCTTAAACAATTTCAATTTCATTACAAAGAAACCTCTTTTTAGTAGTAAACACTGCTTACCTGTTCCCTACTGAATCTTGAGAGATCTGAAATTTTGGAATGATAGAAGAAACACCATATTCATCCTGATACTTCTTACAAGATTTGTAATGATGTCTCATGCGATAGAACTTAATCTGTAAATTATTAATTAAAAGGTAATATGATTTTTTATTTGGAAATAAACCCACACGCTTTGAGAAAAAAAAAATCTAATTACTAAGATGCCCTTTAAACAAGTTTGTTAAGAAAATGATTCAATCTGTTATGCAGAAACTGAAAATAAGTCATCCTTCTCCATCTGCCAGAAGCAGGGACAATGGAGACTGGTCCATCATCCAGACTCATACACACCGAAAATTTTAACAAGAATTTTTACACTTGAGCATTGAATGGCAAATACCAAATGTATACATTATATACCTAAGAAGTTGCCTTGTACCACACTAATTGTATCTTTATTCTCTACTGCAACCTGGCAAAGTTAGAAAGAGGTTTATCAATGAAGTTCTCATACAAGCATTTGGCACATTTTTCAGCTTCTCACTGAGGAGTAACACCAGAACCCCTCAAGTGTGTTCTCCAGCTTTACTCCATTGCCCTGTCAGTTAAACACCTTTTTCAAAGAGATGGAAAAGCAGATCTGACTTGGATGAATGCATGAAATAGCAACTTGTTTTGCTCAGTGACTCTATTCGCTGTTAAAAAAATGTCTGCAATAAATCCATAGGCACTGATATATATTAAAAACCTAACTACCCTTCACTATATTTTACTCCTTCTCCAAACAATGGAACTGTAAAATCCAGATTGAAGAATCAATGCCAATTATTTGCCAACACTTTTTCTTTAAAAACTAAAACATGTTACCAAATATTTTACTTTAATAAACATACATATAAGCAAAATGGGCATCTTAAAATATTCTTTAAACCATATAAATCTTATTCTACCAAACTATTACCATTTATATGTGCAAAGGTGAATACTAATGTTACTGTTGGACTTATAGGTTGAGTTTGTAGCAGAATGGTATTTAAATTAGTTGGCTTGCTCATCTACTTCATATAATCAATGAGAAATTAAGAAAAATACCATATTACAAATATCAGTGAATTCAGACTGTTGGTTTCTGTTCCCCAAAAATTTATAATCTGGGAAGATCTATAGTTTCAAACACAAACATTTGGGTTTTTTTTTTTTTTCGGGGGCGGGGGGTGGGGTGGGGTGGGGACACTTTTATATCCAATCCCCAACCTAAATAACTTCTTACCCACTCTAAAAACACAAGCAGAAATTCCAGAATAGAAATTTAGCTTCCAAAGACCTTTATCACATTTACTTTACCTGTTTTGCACAGCACCTGCAGCTACCAGAAAACTTCCTCATGATATTTTCAAGGTCTAAAGCTCGTTCCGGGCATGCTCTCTCTCTTCTAGTCACAGTTCCACGACAGAGGGGACAATGAATTCCACTTTCTCTCATTGCCGTCAGGAAACATTTTCTACAGAAACTAAACCGAGTATTTGTAACATATTAAGTAAGGATAAAAAAGGTCTTTCAGTTCATTTCTATAACCGAACTCTGTAACTACAACAAATAAGGGGAAGTGGGGAGAAATGGGACTAGGGAGTAAGCACCCCTCTTCCTGTCCTCAGGTCCCACTCAACAAGGAGGCCAATAACTGGACTACAGGTAAAGGGAAACAAACAAGAACTACTACTTAAAAAATAAAAAAGAACTATTACTTGAATCTGCTTTATAAATTTTTAACATTGTATATGGAAAAATAAACATTAACATTATTTAATACTATCAAAAAGTGTGATAGAAAGGGAATATCATGCGCTGGCTCATCCCTGTAGTAGCTGTATGACAGTACACAGCACATTTAACCATGTTGCATCTCCATTCCTCTAACCTAGGAGAGAATGGCCCAGATCCATTTTTGTCTCATTAGTGTACAAGCTGTTGCTCCCCAGGATATGTACAAGTTTACTAGGAAACAGAACACAATTATCTGGGAAACTATAGGGTATACAACAAGGCTGATTAGGCTTCTCTGTAACACAGTATTTACTATTCTAAGCAAAATATATTATATACATTTATTTGGTTAGAATATAAAAACTTAACACAACACCTCTTTAATGTGTTGAAAAGCAAGGAGGTTACTTTGAGGACCAAGGTGCACCTGGCCCAAGTGGGTATATTTTAATTGCCTCATACACATGAACAATGAAAAAGGAAGACTGAAGAAGAACCAATGGATTTGAAGTGTGGTGTTGGCAAAAAATATGGAAAGTACCATGGGTTGCCAAAAGAACAAACAAATCTGTCTCGGAAATAAGTACAGAGAGAATGCTCCTTAGAGGCATCTATGGCATCCCACATATTTTTGATATGTTATCAGGAAAGACCAGTCCCTGGAGAAGGCTATCATGTTTGGTAAAGTAGCAAAAAAGAGGAAGACCTTATATAAGATAGGTTGACACAGTCATTGCACAAATGAGTTCAAACATAAGACCAATTGTGAGGATGGCATAATATCAGACAGTGTTTCCTTCTGTTGTACACAGAGTTGCTATGAGCAGGAACCAACCAACAAGGACACATCTGCCCTTCACAAAGCTGTCAGATATCAGGGATATTCACCTCCTAAGACTATGGTCAGAGGGGAGTCACCAGGAGCTTAATCCACATTGCAAATGGACCTTACCTTGCAAATGAATTTTGGCTTTCCATAGGCCTAACCTTTGAACCTAGGGTCCTGCACTGAGAAACTCCTAGACCCAGGGAAAACTGATTACAAGGCCCCTCAGAGCCAACAGAGAAAAAGGAGCTGACACTCTAAATACAGACTTCTAGCTTCGTAAACTGAGAGAAAATAAATGACTATTTGTTAAAGCTATACACAGGTAGCATTTGTTATAGCAGCACGAGACAACTAAGACAACATGCAAAAGTCCTACATCAGGTACAATGTTAGCAGGGTACATGTGGAGTGTGGTCTGGAGACTAACCCCAGTCCAGACGCCAAGGTCCATGGGCCCTTGACCTGGCCCAACCTCGCAGCTGCAGTTCATACCCCAGTGTCTGAGGACTAAGGAGCGGCGACCAGACTGAAGTCACTGACCCATAACACAGGTCCGCACAGTGAGCAGGAGTCAAGGACACCTCAGAGCCCCCAGCTGCCACCAATGAGACCCACCAAGAACCAGACCTGAGGGACCTGGCCTTCAGAAACAGTTTATAGCTGGGGGCAGGAGTCTGTACTACCCTGCAGTCAGGCTACACTCAACTCCAGCTCCTATTTTACAAAAAAAATCTTTACACACACCCCATCCTCCCCACCAAAAAACGCAATCAAATCATAGCAAGTCAAACACAACCACAATTTAAAATAATTATTCTCTAAGTAATTTAGTTTTATCACAGAACTTGGCCAGTATATTCTAAAGTAAACTATGTATAAATTCAATCACAATTTTTTGTTAATAAAATTATCAAGTACTCTAAAGAATACCAATATAAAAAGGTTTTAGAGCTCACAATATCTATGCTTATCTAAAATATTCTTAAAATCAAATAGTGATCAAAAGAGATATTCTAGAGCAGGCGTCCTCAAACTACAGCCCTCAGGCCACATGCAGCCCACCGAGGACATTTCTCCGGCTCGCCGGGTGTTTTTTTTGTTTTTTTGTTTTTTTTTCAACTTAAAGTTTTTTATTAAAATAAATTTGTGCAAGGTTTAGAAAGGAACAAACCTCATAATTAAGCAACACCTATCTTTCCCATTTATCCCTGTTTCTGACATCCCACTTTTTCATTAAACATTTTTTTTTCATTCTCTCTCTTTTTTTTTACATTTTATTAGGGGCTCATACAACTGTTATCACAATCCATACACACATCAATTGTGTAAAGCGCATTTGTACATCGTTTCTCAAAACATTTTCTCTCCATTTAAATCCCCGTCATTAGGTCCTCATTTTTCTCCTCCCTCCCCGCTCCCCCCTCCCGCATGTGCCCTTGATAGTTTATAAATGGGTATTTTGTCATATCTTGCCCTGTCCGACTTCTCCCTTCATCCACTTTTCGGTTGTCTGTCCCCCAGGGAGGAGGTCACACACAGTTCCATGTAACCGGTTCCCTCTTTCCTACCCATTCTCCCTTTACCCTCCCTGTTTTGCCACTCACACCACTGGTCCTATAGGGCTCATCCGTCCTGGATTCCCTGTATTTTCAGTTCCTATCTGTACCAGTGTACCTCCTCTGGTCTAGCTCGCCGGGTGTTTTTGCCGTTTGTTTTTTAACTTCAAAATAAGATATGTGCAGTGTGCATAGGAATTTGTTCATAGTTTTTTTTTTAAACTATAGTCCGGCCCTCTAACGTGTTTGAGGGACAGTGAACTGGCCCCCTGTTTAAAAAGTTTGAGGACCCCTGCTCTAGATTATGGAATACTATCAATTTGTATTATTGTTTATTATAATATGCTGAACTAGAGGCAAATTCTTCGACTTAATAGAAAACTACTGTTCATTAGACTTTGTTCCTTAAGGATCAACCCTGTTTTTCCCCCCTTAGTGACTGGCAAGTTAGGTACACCAAAAACTCAGTTAAATACCGAGTGAATTTTTACTTAAAAATAGAAACAAGGCCAACAATTTCTATTTAGTATACTTACAAAGATATTAGCAACATCTGTAATTACAGAGCTGAAGTTTAAAGGTATAAAAATATATAAGAGCAAGAAATAAAACTGAAATTAAGTAACAAAATTGTTTTACAAAAAAAATCCTAAATTAAAACAATTAACACATGATATATCATTTAACAAACTACAATAAACTCTTCAAATGACAATAACATTACTGTAGACATTGTGATATATATACAATGAAAAACATTCTTTTTTTTTTTTTTAAGTTATCAGGTTTAAAATTCATTTAAGACTTTATATTTATTCAAAATATACAAAGAAATGAAGATTTCTATTTCCAAAAAGCATAAGTACTTATTATAAAACTAAAGTCCCCCAAATAACTGATTTATAGGACCATTACTTATAGGACTTTGCTAAATAGATAATTAAACTCTTAAAGAAGACTATATTGAAAAAGCAAAAATGATAAACCTACCCCAGCAGATTTTTAAGTATTATGGCCACATGTGAGCATGCTTCAAAAAAATTCATGGGAAAAATTGATGATCTTTTCATTTCTTCTTTCCATGAATCTGTTGAAGGGCTCCTCATACTTAATGCATACTTATTTGATAAATGCGTACTAGGCACACTGAGTGTATAAAAGAACCAAACTGACAAAGTTCCATTTTGATGGGTGTTACAGCCTTATGGTATGCACGCACATGCATAAGTTTGTGTGTTTATCTTATATTCCTCCAAAGCAATTAACATAGCCAGATATCGCTGTGGTAAAACAGCAAAAGTAACTCATGAAATTATAGAAAGCCAAGAGAACAAAGCTATTTTATGGATCAAATAAATTAAATAGAGATTTTTAATAAGGAAAATAAATTTATTCTAATAAATACTGAGGATAAATGAATTAAGAATGGTAAAATACCTCAAATTCAAATTTACACATCCATTTCCATATATTTCTCAAAAAAAGTGGAAAAAAAGAATTTAACTAGAAAAAAGTTGAATTGCATCATAATTTTAGCTAGAAGAATAAAGGAAATCAAATAATTTTAAGTTTGAATGTATATAATTATAATTTATAATTATAATTTACAGAAGAAAACAACCAAATAGGAAAATAATGAAGTTTAAGTAGATTATCAAAAGGGTAAAGATATTATTATCAAAATTACATGTAGAACATACTGTGCATTCTAAAATTACAAAGTATTAAATAAAAATTTGGGGGCCTTGTTGTGCTTTAGGGTAAGTGTTGGATTCATAATTTCAAAGTCAGTAGTTCAAAACCATCAGCTGCTCTCAGGATAAAGATGAAAGCTGTCGGTGCCTGTGAAGAATTACAGCCTTGGAAAGCCTATATAAGGGTCACTATGAATCAGAAACTATTTGATGGTAGTGTTTTATTTCAAATAAAAATTTAATATGACAAAAAGCATATAGCTTTCCTAGCAACTGAGTAGACATTAACGTGACCTCTAACTTAAAAAACAAAAACCTACTGTCACTGAATTGATTCCAACTGATAGTGACCCCATAGGACATAGTAGAATGATATCCCACAGGGTTTCTTTATGGAAGCTGACTGCCTTATCTGTCACCCAGAGTGACTGGTAGGCTTTCAGTTAGCAGCTGAGTGCTTTAACCAATGTATCATCTGAGGTCTTAAAGTGACCTCTAAGATACTGTTATGAGGTACATAAGCTAGGAAGGAAAAAAGGCTTTTTGAAAAACTGCTTATATTACTTAGGCTAGGTTCTCTTGAGAAGCAAAACCAGTGATGCTTGTGTGTGCTGTTTATCAGAGACATTTATATCAAGAAATGGCTAACACAGTTGTAGAAATAGGT